CACAACGGATCATAAATATATTCTAATTTATTAAACGATGGATACGCGAAGAGTACAAAACGTTCAACATTTACACTAGTTTGCTACGAATTAGTCGGTCATTTCGGAATGTGAATACAGCAAATACACCGTTGCATTTAATCTACGGTCGACTTGGTCGAGTCATGAATTCGATTGCGTGTGTAACTTTAATGATATTCCTGAACGAGGTGAAACGACGGTCTGGACCCTGACGCCGTTCTAAATTCGTCGTATCGCCGATGGAAAAGATAAATTGTCGAAACTCACTCGGAACACCGATAAGATCCAGTTTAATTGTGTATTCATAAATGCGTTTGTCCAGCGCGATGACCTCCGTGTCGCATTCGATCAAAAACGTATGACCATCCGAACGACGACGGCCGTCAGATGGAAGCGGGATGAGAGAACATTGGCTGTTCTCACAGAATTCGATTCCTGTACGATTCACACGCGGAACACAAACATAAATGCGGACAGGGTCACGTAATCATATAAAAGCGTTCGTAACTCACTGTACCGTAGGTCGTTGTCTCCCTTTGTCTGGTCGTACGCATGAACCTGTCCTCGTTCCCGAGTAGCTCTGCCATCTTAATTCGTTCCGACGGAACGAGCGACATCGCCGAACCTGCCAGCGAGACGACGAAACTCGTTTCGATTTTCACGGGATCGCGAAGTGACCCCGATTCACGACCGATCCATCGGTGGATCGTAAATTAATACGCACTGCTGATTACGTACGCAGTCACATCTTGCACGAGGCAAAACAGAGACACGCGTGCCTAGCTCTGCTGTGCGATCCGCGTGTAGCGCGATCGTACAGTACTACGTGTGCGTAACACCTTGCTGCTCTACGACCTCGACACGTCCGTTACACTCGAAACTCGGAATACTTGGTCACGCTGAACAAAGACCGCGAGCGCAAAAATGGATGCTCCAAACGAACTCTCCACAAGAACTTTACAGCTCTTCCGACCGACGACCGACGAGACGGCGAACGCTCTCCCCGAATTGGTCTAGGAATTTATGGTCCGCCGTCCGTCGAACAATGCGAACGGATCAAACAGCGTCGATTTAGAGGCGTAAGTCGTAAAAGGTTTCTCGTTTCGGTCACAGCGTGTTAATCCAACTACGGTGGGATTATTTCGAAACGGAGGGACACGGACGGGTAAGCAGGTAAGAAGAGCAGGCAGCCAAGCCGTCCGACGGCGGCGCCGGCGGCTCGGATGAGACGCCAGAGTTCGTCGTCCGCGCAAACACACGTATTTCGATGCGTGTAAAAGGAGCGCGTACAGTGTATAGGGTCAGGGGAGTCGTGCACGTATATAGAAAGGCAGGCGGGCGGGCGCGCGCTCGCGCATTCGCACGCAAAATGTTAAACGGGGATATACGTATACGTAGCAAGCGGCGAACACGAAGGGAAGAGAGCACGCAGCCAGACGAGAGGGACACAGCGCGTACAATGATCGACTTTTCGCCATCGGGGAATGATCACGCGCGATGCTCGCATCCGTGAAACCGCGTCTTTAGAACGAGCGTAGCTGATCGACACTCACCTGAATCGCCATACACATTGAATATGGAAGGTACGGTGGGGCGTTCGTTAGCGAAAACGCGACTTCGTAGGTGACAGGGCACACCGAACACTCGCGCACGTCCACGCTCCAAAGCAGCCACTAGACGACTGAGGGAAATGGCGGACGGCCGCCAGGAGACTCGACCGTCCTGCCACTCGATTGGTCGGCCGCGGCGCCATGTTTCGAATCCGCCAGGGGCACGCACGACTTTGTTCGACGCGACGTTTCGTTTCGATTCTCTCTTTCCTCTACCAGCACGTACCGACTCCGACACCTCACGGACTCGAATGCCGTCTGATCAAAGGTAATTACAGTGCTGCATGATTCTTTGAGAATAAGTATATCTGAACGCGCTGGTGAGTGCTACACAAATTGTGCCGACCTTCTCGTGGCACGACATTTCCTATTAGGTGCAAGCGTGCAACTTTGCGAGTAGATTTAAATTCGTGCCTCGCGACCTCGGATAATTATCTTTCATTCGCGACACGTGCTACCGTGTGGTTATTTTTATTCCTCTTCGCGATCAAATATATTTATGATGCTTGCACTTGGTTTGGAACGATCAAGCGAATCGATCGACAACGACGTGTGCTTTAATCACGTGAGTTTAAAAAAGTTCTCTCACACACATTCCGGCTCTATCCGACTATTAGAATGGAACACACGGAATTAACAGTTTTGAAAACATTTATTCATTGTAAATACATTGTTTGTGCCTTACTTCTGAGAGAGGAAAAGAAAGATGTTACGTTTTGCCTCCTGGTGAAACACAAAACGAAATTGTTCTAACAACGACTCGCAATCTCTCTGCAGTGTTAATTTCATATCTAAGGAAGAAATTCGGTGTTTGATATGAAACAGAAGATCCATTTTCTTTTCGATCGCGCACGCACGACACACTCTTTATCATAGGGGGGCTTTAAAATTGTGTGT